TAAACTCTTATAGTTTTATAAAACTTCTTAAAGCTTGGGCAGCTTTTTACATTTCCATTCCCATCTGAAAAACTCCTAGGTCTTTTAATTAGTTGTAATTATGCCGTTGTTCAGACAAGGAAATAAATTGAGATCCAGCGTGCTCAGTGATAAGCCAGCTTTAGCTAGCACACACTCTTCAGGCTAATGTTCTTGCTTTAGTCCCACTGAGCAATCTTTAATGCTTGTGCTCATTACAGATACGGCTCGCTCTGATCGAGACAGCCATAAACGCTAAAAACGGACAGAAAGTCGGGATGTTGAAGAAGAAATGAGAGTTTGGGGGGCGTGTGGTGGTGGGGGAAGGGGATAAGAAAAAGTCAGAGGTCAAGATTAGCAGCATTTAAATTAAGATTGGTGCTAATTAAGCCCGGAGTTCAGCTTAATCATTTTCATGCGACTTAAAGTGTTCATTAAAAAAAAAAAAAAAAACAGAATGAAGGAGAAGGCAAAGGATGAAGACATGAATAGAGAGTAAATGAGTGAGTGGCAGAATCCTTTTAGATCACTCAATCTTTTACCTCTCTTTTTAGTTGTTATAATTAATGTATAAGAGTTTTAAAAATATATTTCTATAAAAAAACAGTTAATGAGACTGAGAGAAAGACAGAAGGAAGAGAGAAAGTGAAATATGCAGAGAGACACCAGCTAATTCAGTGAGCACACACCAGCTCGCCTTTAAATGTCATCTTTACCAAGTGATGAACGTCTCCACCTTTATTTGATTACATCTGATTCATCTTTCTCTCTCTCTCTCTCTCTTCCTCTCTCTCTCTGTCTCTCTCTCTCTCTCTCTACCCAGCTCTGCCGCCCCCAAATGAATAAATAAAGCCGGCTCTTGAAGGTTAGCGCTCGGAAACAGGACGCTCATATTAGGGACTTATTAGAGATATGAATGCGAGATGAAGAGCTCATATCGGATGATTAGTGAAGTGCAGAAGTGTGCTCTGGTTAGAACGAGTGCGAATTCAATTAATCTTGCTCTCCCTGATGAGCCTCTCTCAACTCCTGTGGGGAATTTGTGGAGAAAACACAATTACTGATTATGACTTGCACCTAGCTGAGTCCCAGAGACTCTGTTATAGATGGTGTGCATGTTATTTTATTTGTTTCTCGGGTTTGATAGATACAACTAGCCAAAATCCTGAAACACCGCTGATGCTCTGAGTTTGTCTTCCATCATTCATGACCAAAGTCGCTTTAGAGAATTACTCTTAGAAGTCTTCTTAATTAAAAGCTGTGAGTAAAAATGTGTTATAAAGATTCTTAGAGCAACTGGTGAGAAGTAGGAGTTAATTCTAGGAGTAAATCCTAAGCAAGAATAATTGTTATAAATAAATAAATGGTTATCCTCAGCAATCTCCTGTGTTATAAGAGGAATAAAATACTTTTGGACGTGGCATTATAGGAGAATTATTAACGTCGAGGTGGTAACTGTAACCCTGCTTCATCACACCACCCCACTGTTGATTATTTTCCTATAACAGCATGACACTGCGGGTTTACTGGTGCGCCGTGTGAGGAACAGCACATACACTCCTCCTAGAAACTGATTCCACTATGACTGTTTTTTTTTAAAAACTCTATGGCATGCTTTTGTCTATTTTAATAGATAACAGCGCTTTAAATTCTCAGCAACACTACAAAGCTGATTGAAGTCAGTGATCATTTAGAGAAGTTTATATGTCTCTAAACTGGCTACTAAAAGCTCGGCCTACCTGTTCTCTACATTAGCCAAAACTAATGCAAACTTCACACACCAAAATATTTCTTGTAGTCAATTCATTTGGGGTACAATTTTCTTTTTTCCATTGTGTACAAATTTTTGGCAAAATTATGAGAATGGATGAAATGAAAACAGTTATTGGTAGTGCACCCAAGCTTTTGGACGCAAATGAATGCGGTCAGCTCTGAATATCTGCCCAATTATTTGGCTATTTGGTGATGCAGATTGTGTGTGTGTGTGTGTGTGTGTGTGAAGACAGATGGAACCTCACGTCAGCTCAGTGTGATGGTGGGACGGATGAAGACTTAACGCCAAATCCATCTCAATGAGGGAAACAATAGAGGCTCTGTGTGATGGATCTGATTTCTGGCTTTCTTTTGAACTCGCCCACACACACACACACACACACACACACACAATCCCATTTTTCACTGATGGCTCTGACTTCCACTTTATTTCACACTCGTATATCATAGCATATTTGCCATATATCGTAGTGCATAGTATACAACATTGTACCAGGGCCAAGGTAAATAGTCATTTCTGATTGGCTGACAGGTGTGCATCAAATCCTTACATCACACTAGAGTCATATAACGGTAGCCCATGGAGTCGGAGGACTAGAACGTGACCTGAATAACATGACAATAGTTGATATTTTCATATTATTTATTAAGAAGGAACTAATTACCAATTACACATTCAAAACCTGAGTTTGTAGGCGTGGTGGAACCGAGATACAAATAATGGCACAAAAATGTCCCAAAATATTAAAAGTAAAGTAATCTCCGCTTTGTGGTGTTCTTTGTCTCAGCCTCATTCATTATTTTCTGGTGTGTATCCATTCCCAAAAACCAATATGCTGCTAAAGAAGATCCGGTCTAAAATTTGACCACAGACTTACATCAATCCTCGACGTACCCTGGTGCATCGGATTCACAGTAATTACAAGATAAAGGCATTTTCTTTGAGTTGGACTTGGAAATTGGTCATTTCTATGGAAACCCACACACTACCATAACATCTTTCAGCTATCAAACCAAAACTACGCTATTTATAATGCGGTCATTTCTATATAATGAGATGGAATGTTTAATAGACAAAGTTAAATCATGTTCATGTACAATTTCTACCAGACTATTTTTAATTGCAGAAGTCATTCATGTGGTCACTTTTTTAACTACAATGTCAGTTTGGAGCATTCAGAAAATGTAGAGATGATGATAAGAACAGATTCATTGAATAACAGATTTTCATAATTCCAAAAAACTAATCAAATTGCGCTTATTGGTATTCAGACCTCAGACGTAACTATGGACTCGAGAGCTTTCTGAGAGTTGCATGAGATATGTGTGTGCAGGCGGAGTTTACTGAAAACAGAGATGTGTGTCAGTTATGCGTGATTCTGACTTAAGCCTGTATTCTTGTGTAATATTGACTCGAGTGTGAGAGGATCGCCACTAACTCTGACAGTTTGATGTAACCACAATATTTCATGCTGTTGGACTGTAAATACACTCAAAAATTGGGGAATAGCATTCATCTCTGTAGAGGCCACGATTTTTTTTTTTGGTCCATTGATTTTTTTTTGTTTGCTTTTATGGTGCATCATATTGCAAGTGACAGCAAAGAAAAAAGATGCAAACTACTTTCTGGCAACCCTGGAGGCATGAGGTGCGTGTGTGTCATTTTAAGAAACGAAAGCGCTGCCCAGAAATTCATCTTAATTCCCCTGCGTAAATATTGACGTAAAGTTTAGAATTTTAGTTGCTGACGCTGAAAAAAACTCTGTTTTAGCTGTTTTTAGCTTCAGTTTTACCGACTCTGAGCATAAAGAATGTTTTTGTTGGTGTTAAAATGACCAAAAAAAAAAATCAGCTTAAGTGTGAACAAGATGGACAGTGTGTGTGTGTGTGGGTGGGTGTGGGTGTGTATGTGTGTGTGTGGGTGGGTGTGTGTGTGATATGCCCATACGTACTTTCCCCACATCTCTGATCTCTGGCCTCTCCATAAGAAAGCACAGTGAAAGCACAAAGTGACACACTTCTACGGCACGTCTCACAGTGACAACACAAAGCAAACCTCCGATAAACACCGGGTGTACATGTGTGCGATTGTGTTCTCTACACACACTGATGACATCTTCACTCGGCGAGTGTACGGATGTTTGCGGACGTCTCTGAGAAACAGCAGTGTGTGTCGACAGCATCAGGCAGCAGGGTTACAGCAGCCATTGTGTAGCTATGACATGCTTTCTTATCGCCATGTCTAGCTTTTTTCCTTTCCTCTTCCTGAAGCAGAAACGCAAGAAGAATCTCTTTGTCTTGCGCTAGGGTTTGATGTTTTAAGGTTTCCGGTCTGGTTTAGGCATGTGACAAGATGATCACTTCTGAAATCTTAGGAAAAATTATGGCAGTTTTTAATACATCATGATATAATCTCACCACCTGACAATTGCCTTTGTGATGAATAAAAGACTCAGTATTGTGCTGTTACAGGACATTAATCAACAGTGTGAAACAGTGTGATGAATCCGAGTTACTGTTACTACTTACTGAGAAACCTCAAAGCGTAAACTCCTCTGTCCTGAAGACTTTCATATGTAGGAAAACTTAAAGCTACAGCTTTACCTGTGATTGTTACAGAGCACTGGCACTGGAGACTCCTTACCTGACCATATCAATGGTTACACGCATTGTTTTTAATCAATTTATGTGCAGCTTTCCTTTGGATTCCCTGTTACTATAGAAACGATCATGCATTATTACGAGCGCATTAATATTAACCTGTGAGTTGCAGCTGCACTACTGTCAGAGCTGCTGTTATAGAAAATTAATTGACACCTTCTGACCAATCAGAATCCAGAATTCAACAGAAATAACTGGACGTTAAGAGAAAGAACGCTACGACTCGAAGTGTGTTATTTTCTGACATCGAGACGATTCGGGGGCGTTGAAACAAACAGAGGCTTTATATATGTTTTGCTTTTTTATAACTGAATGCAAACAGCAAAATGTCATTTTTTTATTTAGCTGACTGGGTAAACTTTATAATCTCCCAATGTGTTAATAGAGTTGGAAGGTATTAACTTGCTCTGCTCTCCCTCTCTCTGCATCTCTCTATCTACACTCAGCTCCAGAATTATTGGCACCCTTGGTATAGATGGGTAAAAAAATAGTGCGTTGATTCAACCACTTCTCGCACTGAATTAACTCGCACTAAAAGATTGATGAAAGGTAGTAGGCTCAGTGGTTAAGGCTTTGAGTTACGGAACAGAAGATGGTGGGTTCAAGTCCCAGCACTGCCATGGCTGGGGGCTTGAGTGTGACTCTTAACCTTCAGCTCAGTTGTATCCTGCATCAACTGTATGTGATTATGTGTTGTTTTATACCTGTTGCTGATAAATTACTCTAATATTTAAAGTTTTTTTTTTACAGTGTAGCTTTATGCCAATTAATCCACAATTGCTGGTACACCTGCATTTAGCACTACAATGCTTGATGAGATTGGAGGATATGTAGTGAGGAATCTGGGAAACTCCTCAATGCAGAATCTCTCCACATCCTCCAGGGGCCTTGGTTCTCTCCCCTGGACACTCAGTTTTTCAACAGGGTTTAATTCAGAGGACTAGAGTGGCCATGTCAAAAGCTTGTTTTTTTGTTTTTTTTTTAGCATTAAACCATTCTGGTGCAGATTTTGGATCACTGTCTTGCTGGACGATCCAACCATGACCCTTTCATATTAGCCAGAGGAAATCTGCATTTAGTGCTATGATAGATTGACTCCATGACACATGAAGAATATAAAGGGAAGAGGCCCGGTGTAAATGGTGGCAGGTTTGAGCCCATTAAATCAGCTGAGTTAACTTTGTGCTTTGGATATTCCGGCTTTATGCTAGCTTGTGTACCTTGTGAACTCTCATTTCAGCTGTATGCTAGCTTGGTCATTTCAGCGCTTTTGTTTTTTTTTTTTTAAATCTCAGTTAGAAATACTGGTTTCTTTATCATTTTGCCGTTACTCACCCTGATGCTGTTTCTCCAGGAGTGAGCTTCCTTTTTGTATTCAGTACATGAGCATGAAAACAATAAATCTACGTCTAGTCTTTTTGATTTATGTTACCACCCTCGTTTTCCACGGGCACAAGACTGAGGTTTTTACAAGATTTTAAAGATAAAAAATGGTTGTAACATTTTTTACACAATTTAGCATATAAATAATTTTCGTGCATAAATCAGAGTCACATCAGAGTGCGTACATTTCCTTTTTTTTTTTCTTTTTGCCTGAGAACCAAATGTGATTCAAAGCTGAATCAGCATCAACATAAGCTTGTTAAGTTGTCACATTTTCAGCATATGCATTGTGCTGATTTAAAACTGCGATTAAAATGTTTGACCTGATCTATGTTATAGGCACAGCTACCAGCCAATCAGAAATGAGTATTTTGCTGAAGGTTTATGTGTAAAATGATGCTACAACTCTGTAACTTGACAGGATTCACATGACTTGTTGGATAAAATGTGTGCAGACTGAGTAAGAACGCTGTACTGCATCAAGAACAATATTGTATTAATGCTGAACATTATTTTTCCCAAATACTTGGAATATAAAATATGAAACTACTGTTTGGAGTTTGGTTTAAATTCTTTAGCTCCTAATTGTATAATTTCAGGAAATATAATGAATGTTCAAGCCATGATTTGACATGTGATCTGAAACTTCTGAACAGCGTATGATGACACTTCTCTCTGAGGAGTTAATTTTCAATATTATAATTAGAGATGAAGATATTTACAGCTTTTCACAGGTTAACTCTCGGCTTCAACACCTGACGCTACCTTAACCTAAAACTTTTTTCTCACTGCATATATTGCCCTTTCCCTCTCTGCGCTAATCGGGACATTCCACCGAATGGGTAACATTTCTGTCCCCAGGACATTAAAGGTATAAAAATGCATGAAAATGAACTCTAAAATACATTTTATTATTAAGCAAAGTGTCTTCACATTTAGCTAACTGCAAAATTTAGAATGTATAATTAAAATCATTAATAAAAACTACCTAGAACACTAAAGAAATAGCAGTTGTTGCATGT